TGATATTAACTTTAGTTTCTGCAAAACATGGTTGCTCTCAGTTTGTTCAGTGCCTGACAAAATCCAGGTTGCCTGCTTCCCCTGGTACCCTGGGGCAGCCAGCCATTGCTCAGGGTGTAGCCTCTCCCTCCTCCTTACCTGCCTGGTCTGTCATGCCTTGATGCTTGTACAGCACATATGCTGTGTCTCTGGCGATGGGAGGGTACACTGTACTGTCTTGAGCAGAAAGATTCCCTGATCAAGGCTGAAGTTGAAACTTGCAGCCTTCCCCTCAGGACTAAGACATGGCATCATGAGATACCCAGATGACAACGTTGTTCTCCCTGTGTAGCACTGTGAAATGTCCTAGACCGCACCCACATGAGGGAGATTAGAGTCAGTGCTGTTTCGACATTTTGTGCCCCACCTAAGTTAGGCCACGCTGTCTCAATCTGACCATCACAATCACCCTGTGAGGTAGGTAGCAAGGGTATGCCTCCCCGTTTTACAGGTTGTGGGATGAGGCCTAAGGAGGTGAGGGACTTGTCCAGGGTCACCTCTTTAGTCAGAGTGGGACCAGCTTTAGTGCAGGGCCCTGCCCCTTGTCCAGCCCCCATTCACTGGATCTGGCCACCGTGTACCACAGAGCAGAGGTGCCTAACCTTTGTGGGACAGAGATGCCTATGAGTGGCAGCCAGGCCAGAACCTTGTTCGTGTCACAACAAGGGCCCCACATGTGTGCCTCCTGCCCTGCCCTTGCTGGAGCCAGAAAGACAGCCCTTTTGCCCACAAATAACATTTCTCTCCAGTCGCTCAGCTCTCTAATTTAGACAGAAGTTCCGGCCTGTTTCCTCTCTTTCTTGGTTTGACTGGCTCCAGCCACGCTTGCTCCCTGGGGTCAGAGACAAAATGCAGTCCTGTTCCAACCCAAGGTGTAGAATAACTTTCTTGTACTTGAATCCTAGAATGGATTTTCTCAGTCCAAAGTTCCTGCCAGCCCTTCTGACTCAATGGGAGCCGGAAGATTAGGAGAGAAAAATTGTCTATCGTATTTCATTGTGGTGACTCATTGTATACGAATTCTCATTGTTGAAGTATGAATTAGAACTAAATTTAGTTTAGTGCAGTTTTACTGTTTTGAAGGAAAATGGTGATGACAAAGCATATCTTTTTCAGCTTACTCAAAGCCCTGGGCCTGATGGCATAAATTCATATAAATGATGTCCCCAAACTTCCATTTTATATTAAAGAGCTAAACAATTAAATTCAAGAGAAGAGAAGAGGAATTATTCTTTGATTTTGTAGGGTGTGACGTGTACCTGGGGAGGATAATCCAAGCTCAGAGGCAACAGACAAAAAGAAAATAGTGAATGATTTTAGCAAAAAGAAACAAATGACTGTGCCTTTAACAAAAATCCCAACTTCAAAGGGAGTGCAGTAAATGATTGCAGTAAACATTTCAGACTGATGTGAAGGTGCACGCAAATCTAGAAGAAAAACTCAAGATGCTAATAACAGCAGAAGATGTCCATACGTCATTCAAAAATGAGGAAACACAACTAGACAGACACAGGAAATGTTCGTCCTCACTAGAAATCAGAGAAATGCAAGGAAAGGGGATCCCATTTTTCTTCATTAAATGAGTAATTTCTTAAACTGATAAACTTGGCCTTAAAGACAGTGAAAACATAAACGCCCTCACCCGTTGACGAGTGGCTATAAAGTAGTACTAACCTGTCGGAAATCATTTTGACAATGGGTATTAAGGAGCCTATAAATCGATCCTCGTCTGTGAACATAGTTCCAGCTCTAAGAATGCAACCTAGAAACAAAAGTCTGAGAATGGAAAACCATGGTGCAGAAATATATTTATAGCAATGGTATTTATGTATCAAACTGGGGAACAAATTAGATGTTTCGACTTCAGGATTGGCTAAGTAAACCGTGCCATATCTTCTCACTGGAATAATATGAGGATGTAACCATATGGAAAATGTTGATTAAGTGAAAAGAAGGGTGCAAAATTGTAATACAGTATGATAAAAAAAATAAAAACCAAGGAAGAATTGAAAACTTGTCTCCACACAGAAACTTGCCTATGGAGTTGTATGGCAGCTTTATTCATAATTGCCGAAACTTGGAAGCAACCAAGATGTCCATCAGTAGGGGAATGGATAAATAAACACTGCTACCTCCAGACAATGGAATATTATTCAGTGCTATGAAGAAATGAGCTATTAACCATGAGAAGACATGGAAGAACCTTAAATGCATTTTGCTGAGTGAAAGAAGCCAATCTGAAAAGGCTGCCTACTGTATGATTCCAACTATGTGACACTCTGGAAAAGGCAAAGCTATGGAGACAGAAACAAGGTCAGTGGTTGGCAGGGGGAGGGGGATGGGAGACATGAATAGGTGGAACACAGAGAATTTTTAGGGCAGTGAAGCTATTCTGTATGATACCATAATGATGGTTACATTATACATTTGTCCAAACCCATAAAATATATAACACCTAAAATGAACCCTAGTGTAAATTGTGGACTGTGGGTGATAATGATGTGTCAGTGCAATGTCATCAATTATAGCAAATGCACCAGTCTGGTGGGGGCTATTGATAATGGGGGAGGCTGTGGGGGCAGGGGTATATGGGCAATGTCTGTACCTTTTGTTCAATTTTTCTGTGAACCTAAAACTGCTCTAAAAAATAAAGTCTATTAAAAAAATAAAACAAAGAAGAGGAAAAAGACTAGAAATATTTACGAAGGTTGTGTTTTGGTTATGATAAACTTTTTTTTTTCATCCCCATGTCTGTAATGACCATTTTAAAACGTGGCAGGCATTAATTTGTAACGGAAAGGGAAAAATAAACATTTCAAGCGTTTAGAAAGTTACGAAATGAAGTTGTCCAAGTGGTTGTGTAATTTAAGTAATTCTGAAAGTGTCTTAGCCCTTGTTTTTTCTCCTAGTGGTCAGAGTTTTGTAAACGCACATTCCTTTTGGCTATTTGTGAATTTACACAACTGACCCTGTGCTCTAAAGCTCTGGCCAGTTAGGATTTCTCTTCCCAAGAAAAATAAGCCATCTTTGGGGAATCTCAGTGCGAACTGTATTCTTGGAATTTTTCCCACGATGTTTGATTCAGTCTTCGTTTATTTTTAAAACTCTAAGACTATGTTAGAATAGCCTATTTTCTTTTATTAAATACATGTAGGTATTTATTTGTGTTTACTGTTTTTCAAAGATTATACAATCATGTGGTTTAATAATTAAAGTAAAAAGTTAATTAATTTAAATATATATACATACAATTATAATTCTCCCTGTCTAGTCCCCGATCTGTTTAGTCCCTCAGCACCTCCATCCTAAGGAACCACTGTTTTCAAATTCTTGTGAAGATTTCCAGAGTGTCTTTATGCATGTGTATGGAAATACTAATATATATTTTTATTTTTTCCTATTTTTGTACAAAAAGTGGTGCATCTTACACATGGCCCAACATCTAGCTTTTTCATTTAACAATGAAATAGCTTCAGAAATAGCTTCTTCATTCCCCTTTATAGCTGCAGAGGCCCCTGTGTGTGGTTTGTGGATTTCCCATAGTTTACTTTGCCCGTCCCCTGCTGATGGACAGTCGGATGGTTTCTAATTGATTACTGTTGCCAACGGCATTGTAGTGACTCATTTCATTCGGTGCAAGGACATCCACCGAATAGGTTCCCGGAAGCGGAAGTAAAGCCCTTGTCATTCCCATCGCCCGAGTTACCCTGATCGCCAGGGTGTTCTCCACCAGCAAGGGCGGGCGCCGGTCCCAGCCATACTGTGAGTGCCCGAGTCCTCACACACCTGCCAGAAGAGCGCTCTGCCTCCAATCTGATTGAGTCCGTTCTGATATGTGGAGAAAGGAATGGCAGTGAGCTTCAATTTGGATTCCCCTTTCAGGAAGGAGTTTTAGCATGTTTGCATAAACGGTTCACTGCCTTCATTCATTTTAATTATTAGACAGTCAATCCTATTCTTATGGATTTCCAGAAATCCTTTGCGTATCAGGGAGTTAGCCTCTTTTGGTAACTGTGCCTGCTTGGCTGGAACCTGTGCCCGAGGAGGAGAGTCTGAAAGGAGTTTCCCTCTGGGTTGCTGGAACCAACAGGATGCATTTGAAATAAAACTGATGGCCACTCAAGAAAGTGTGTGGACTGCATCCCACCTGTAGCATCAAGAACAGATTTCACAGGCCAGCCTGTGTCTGCCCATTTCATGTTAGCAGCTTGCTAACAGTGTCACTTAGGGTAGGTCATTTAGCATCTTTGAGTCTTGATTTGCTTACCTGTAATGTAAAGCTTATCAGCCCCATCACTTTGGGTTATCATGGGGAATACAGAAAGAATCTGATACTACAGTGATTACGCGGGGCCGGATAATTCTCACAGCGCTCCTCAGGGGGAACTCATTCAGCCTTCACTAAAGGTAAAAATACCTCAGGAGAAGAAAGCGTGAACCGTCCTGGGGGTCCCTAGACACTCCCAGGTGAGCAACCCAGCATTTTTTCTCATTTGCACAGAAGGTGCTCTGTTTTTAGATTGTGAACCAGAAAGACATGTGCAAGGGAACTTGGTTTTAGGAGAGCTCAAGCAGAGGTTTCTTGTGGTGTCTTAATACCCTACTGGTGTTGTAGCCAAGGCAGACTGTGTCACCAATGAAACCAGGTGGAAACCATCAATCTATACATCCAGAAACAATGCAGACAGCCTGGCCCAGGGTCTCTCCAGGGATTTTTGAACTTTGAACAGCGCACTATAAAGCACTAACTAGCTGGTCTCTTCGTTCTTATCTTAGCCAAGGGTCAGTGCCAGACCTCCAGACAGCCCTGGAGATAAGCACAGAGCAGTCAGCTCCTGTCCAGCTGTAAGATGCCCTTCCTTTACACTATTGCACAGGGCGCATTCGGAAACTATTGCTTCCTTTCCTTTTCCCTGGAACAAACTTGCCTTTGCCTTCACGAGGACCTTTTCCCTCTACAGCTCAGGGGAGACCGTCACCAGCGTGACCAGCTTGGCCCCACTGCAGCCCAAGAAGGGCAAGAGGCGGAGGGAGAAGGCTGACGTGCCTCCTGCAGTCCCCGCCAAAGGTAGGGCTAGCCTTCCGTTTCCCACGTGGCAACTACCGTGATGGATCCAGAAGTGGGTCTGGGATTTGCTGCGGGATCAGGACAGGGGGAGTGGGCAGATGGAGGACATGACATGCAAGGATTACGTGGTCTAGAGAACCCCACCCAGATTCTGGTCATGACTGAGCCCCGCCCCTGGGGTGGGACTTTGGGTGGTGCCATTGACCCAGCATGGCTTTAACGGGGAGGTGGGGGGGTCAACATCCACGGACCGATTCCAGTGTATTTCACTTTGAACTATTAACACGCTCTGCACATAGCGAGATGGGGCAAGGAGGTGTCAGCATCTTCTTGGTTCATTCCAGGAAAAGAAGGCTCTCTGATTTTTCTAGAGATGTAAACTAGGTATATAGTTTATTTTGGATTTGTTCTGGGGATAAAAGCGGGGTTATTCTTTGATTCCACTTATGACTTAGAGCAACATAAGTGTGGAAGGTGGGTGTTTCTGGAGGAGAGGATTGAACACGGCTCAGGAGAACTAAACTGTCACTAGATAGTTCCTAAAACCACTGTGGCCAATTTAGGAGAAGTCCATACCTCAAAGAAGTTGAAAGATAGTTGGGAATGCAAGGATTGTCCAGGTGAACGATTTAATAACAAGACAAGGCACAGTTTATCCTTCAGTTGGAGCTTCGCAGGATGTCCCCTAGGGACCCCGTAGGACACCCTGTGGTAGAAGCCAGTGGTGCCAAGACTCAACTTACATCCAGTGGACGGAAGGGGTGGGAAGGCATGGGCGTTCTAGGAGGCATGGCCAGTGTAGATCTGGGAGGCAAGGGCCGAGAGAAGCCCTGCTGGATTGTCTCACTTCAATCGGAGTAGATAGATAGCACCCGACCTTAGGAAAGCTGAAATGAGGTTTGCAGAGCTAAGTGGTAGAGCCTGGCTTTGAAATGAGGTCTGCCTGACTTTGAAGGCCAAGGTCAAGTCCCATGTCATCTAAATACTGGTTGTATGACATTGGGGAAGAGCCTTGCTTTCCTCCCCTGTTGAATGGGGATGTTAAGACCCTCCCTGATGACCTCACAGGGCTGCTGTGAGGGTCAAAGGTCACTGCTGTCAACGTTAGTGTGCAGTTAGGATGGAGCCCCAGGGACGGTCCAGCCTTGTTGGCCTTTACCAAGCGTCCCTGGTTCTCACCTGCACACCTGACCTCTTTGTAGCTGGCAGTGTTTTATGCAGTTGTTTTGTTGACCCCATCAAAGAGACGGGATGACACGTTCAAAGACTGGGGGAGGATCACCCTCCACCGAGGGGCACTAGCTGCTGCCTGGATCAGAAACTAGAGTTCTTCCGTGGGGCCAGGAAGTCTTCCAGGAAGCCCAGGACTTCCAGGGGGTCCACGAGTCTCTACAGAGTGTGACTGTGATGCTGATGACAAGTGGGCTTTAAGGGTCCTGGGAGGAACTGAAACTAAACCCGTGACGTCCTTCCACAGCTCCCATAGCTGCCACATTCCATAAACCGAAGCTGCTGAAGCCGCAAAGGAAAGTCACCCTGGTGAGTAACCAGATTCTGGGCTGTTGTCCCCTCAAGCCTTAAACGCCCTTCCGAGTCGAGTTGGTACCTTTCTTAATTCAAAACATGCCCCAGGTTCTTGGTGCTTTTGTTCCCAAGTGAAAGCATTCTCTCTTCTTGGGGACAGCTTTTGACTCCCATACCTAGTTCCCGGAATGGCATGGAATTATTTTTCGTTCTAAATGCTACTTTTCCAAAAGAAGAAAAAAGCCACATAGGAATGTATAAAATAGAAATGAACCTGCTTGTATAAATTTGCCTGATAATCACTTTGAAGAGACTGTTGAAGAACCTTCCAGAAAATGTGTTAAAGATTTTATTTTGAAATAAATTTGGGTTTACAGAGAGTGGTAAAGATAATCCAGAGAAGTCCCTTCTACCCTTCTCCTGGCTTCTCCTAATGTTACTATCTTATGTAGCCTTGGGGTATTGGTCAAAACTAAGAAATTACCATCAGCACATTGCCATCCAGACTTCCACCAGATTTCAGCAGTTTTTCCACTAGTGTTCTCTGTCTGTTCCAGAATCCATTCCAGGATCTCATGTTGCATTTATTTGTTGTGTCTCTTTAGTCTCCTCCAATCTGTGACAGTTCCTCAGTCTTTGTTTTTCTTTCATGGCCTTGACGCTTGTGAAGAGTGGTAGCAGTAATTTTTTAGAATCTCCCTTGGCTTGGGTTTCTCTGAGGTTTTTCTGATGAGTAGAAGTGAGGCAATGGATTTGGAGGAAGGACAACACAGAGGTGATATTTATGTCTCACTGCATCACATCGGGGGCACGTAATGTCAACATGTCTTATCATAGGTGGTGGTGGGCCTCTGCTCACTTGGTGGAGGTCGTGTCTGCTAGGCTTCTTCAGTCTAAAGTTGCTATTTTTTTCCCCGTTTATATTTCTGTTTGTTACAAGCCAGTCACTATGTCCAGTTCACACTCAAGGGGAGGAGAGTTAAGCTCCACCCCCTGAAGGGAGGCATGTCAAAGAATTTGTGGACGTACGTTGAAACCACCACAGTATTAATAAATATTTTCAGGGAAATACTCAAGGCTGTACAAATGTCTTGTTTTTCCTTGAACTTTTGCCCACTAATTTTAGCATTCCTCGGCAGATTTTTCTTACAGCAGGAATTACTTTGGTGCCCTAATGGTGGTTTTCTGTTTTCCTCAATCCGTCTCCATTTACTAGGTGAAATTCTTCTGTAGGGAAGAGAGGGAGCCCTTCCCTCATTTGTGTAGTCACTAATTTCTTTGTATCAATGTGGATATTTAATTTTTTTTTAGTTTCTAACCATATTGTTATCTCTTTTGTTACTAATATTGTTCAGCAGTTGTGTATTTGTGTGTGAGAGAGAGAGAGGGAGAGAAACTGGCAAGCCTATTCTAAGATGTGTATGTACAGCAAAGGGCCAAGATAATCTTGAAGGAAAGGAGCGAAGTGGGGAATTTATAGACCAATTCTCAAGATTTACATGAAAGCCACAGTAATTAATACAATATGATGTTAGCACAAAGATAGACAAATAAACCAAAGGAACAGAATAAAGAGCCACAAACAGATCTACGTATGTATTGTCACCTGATTTATGAGAAAAGTGACATTGTAATGCAGCGAAGAAGGGATTATCTTTCAATATATGGTAATGGGTCTATGGGGTATCCACATGAAAAGCAATGATCCCTAACTCCTGCTTCACACCACACACACAAATTAATTAGAGAAGGATCATTGACTGAAGTATAAAAGGTAAAAATAAAACTTCTTAAAGATAGTGTATCTCCCTAACTTCAGGGTAGGCAAAGATTTCTTAAACAAGACACATAAAGTACCAGCCATAAAGGAAAAGATTAAAAAATTTGGATTACCCTAAAATTTAGAGTATCTATTCTGATTAAAGATACCAGTACAAGAATGAAAAGACAAGCCACAGATTGGGAGAATTTATCTGACAGAGGATTCTTACACAGAATCTATGAACACCTCCAAATCAGTAAGGAATGACAACACTCCAAAAAAATGTGCAGAAGTCTTAAAACATACACTTCACAAAAGAAAATATGCAAATACCCAGTAAGCTCCTGAAAAGTACTTAACCTCATCAGCATTATGGAAATGGATGTTAAAGGCATAAAACCAGTTCACATCTCCCAGCATGGCTAAAGTGAAATACTAGTATAGTTTCTTTCCCCCCCCCCACCAAGGAAGATTAGCCCTGAGCTAACATCTGGTGAATCCTCCTCTTTTTGCTGAAGAAGACTGGCCCTGAGCTCACATTGGTGCCCATGTTCTTCTACTTTGTATGTGGGATGCTTACCACAGCATGGCTTGCCAAGTGGTGCCATGTCCGCACCTGGGATCCGAACCTGTGAACCCCGGGCCGCCAAAGTGGAACATGCGCACTTAACTGCTGCACCACTGGGCCGGCCCCTAGTGTAGTTTCTGTTGTTGCCTGTTTTTCTCTGATCTATTTGGAATTTAGGAATGGATTCAGTTTTGTGTTTGTCAGATTCTTTTTTATTTTACTTTGTGTTTCATATTTCAGCAATCATTCCTCACCAGTTTCATTAAACTTTATCACTACAGTCTAAAAAATTATTTAAACTTAACTTTTACTGGCTTTGTTATTGCTCTTTCTTGAACCCAGTATTTTCCTCTTAGATATCTTTATTTGCCTTTATATCTGAACAGTTTGTCTGTGAGTGGAATTCTGGTTTCGTAAGCTTTTCATACTATATTCTTGGAAATATGCTAAGCACTTTATGTGCTTTTCTTATTACTTCTCATATTGCTCAACATAAATGCCAAACTCCTTACTGTGACCCTATAATGCCCTATATCATGTAAGCCTCTAAGCCATGTATGTAATTTCAATTTTCTTTTCTTTTCTTTCTTTCTTTTTTTTTTTTTTTGGTGAGGAAGATTGGCCCTGAGCTAACATCTGTGCCAATCTTCCTCTATTTTGTATGTGAGACGCCACCACAGCATGGCTTGATGAGTGGTATGTAGGTCCACGCCCCGTATCCAAACCCACAAACCCTTGCAGAGTGCGCAAACTTAACCACTACACCACCAGATTGGCCCCTGTAATTTAAAATTTCTAGTAGCTATATTAAAGAAGTAAAAAGAAACAGGTGAAGCCAATTTTAATAATGTTTTATTTAACCCAATATATCAAAAATGTTATCACTTAAACATATAATCATTATAAAAATTATTAATGAAATATTTTACATGCTTTCTGTTCTACTAAGTCTTCACAATCCAGCGTATGTTACACTTGCTACACATCTCATTTCAGAAGCACATTCAAGTGCTCAGGAGCCACCTTTGGTTAGTGGTTACCACAGTCGGCCACACAGCCCTATATGCTCCAGTCCCCATTAGCTCTTTGACATCGTTTTTACCACCATCCCCCGTCCTTGTTGCGCTCTGCCCTCACTAGCTTCCTTGCTAGTCCTTAAACCAAGAGTGTTCTGGCAGATCTTTGCACCAGCTCTCTGCTCTGCCTGGACTGTCCTCCCCAGGATATGCCTGTGGCTTGGGTAGACACCCCTAGGGTCTCTATTCAAACATCCCGTCAACAGAGAAGGCTTTCTGAAATGCCGTATCGAGCACCACCCGCCTCAGATGGCGCTCCCCATCAGAAGCTGCCTCACATCCCTTGTATCTGTCTATTAATCGCCTCTCTTCTCCCGGAGGACAAGGGCTCCGAAGGCGAGGAGCTTGTCTGCTTGGGTCACTGCTGTATTCTCCGTGCCCAGAGCAGTGTCTAAGAGGATGGAGATCTGTTGGAGATTCTGCACGCCAGCTTTGTAGCACAGGTTCTTCATTCCGTTTCTACAGACGGCACAGTGAGGAAGGTGACAGATGGGTGACTAACCCAAGGTCATGTCACTTGTGGGTGGCAGTCAGGACTTGAACCTGGGTCTTTCCGAATCCAAAACATAAGGTTTTAACTAGCACATTCTAAGCCTCGCCTTGGAGTGGAGCCTGGGTCTCTGTGGACGGTTCTGACGTCCCACGTGACTCCACCTCATCCTGGCTCTTCCTGCTCTGCGCCCAGGTTTTCTGTGGTTCCACTGGAGCGACTGGTTCACCGGTTTTCCAAAGAGAGCCTTCTTCTGCCTGCAGTGAATTGGGGTTCCAATGGGTTTTTCATACAGTATGATTCCATCTGGTTCATAGCATCAAAACTTCCTCGTTGGTTCTGCTCTATTGACAATGCTCGTCTTGTCCTCAAATGCAGCAGCAGAGTTTTTGCTGATGCTGGTAGGTCTCTGGTCGTTCAGTGGGCTTTTGCAAACTCAACTGAACACAAAGACAAACTGTCAGCTTCCCTTGGCCTTGCAGCATCCTGCATCCCACTCATGAGATTCGGTCCCCGAGACAGATGAGCTGAGCTCACTTTCCTCTCAACTGTGCATATCACTGCACATTTTTCCAGGTCTTTTCTTCTTAATTCTGATATTTATCAACCACTTCAAGAGGGACTACGCTTTGTAAGTTTCCCCACCTTACATTCTCTCTAAGTTGTTCAGGACCTGTTGTTTCTAACGCTCTCTCTTACCTCTGCTAATAGCAGAAATAACTACTTACCGAAGTTCCATTGACATGCCAGGGATATATCCAAAAAAAGTGCTTTTTGCATGTCATCATGTTTAATTCTCACAATCAGTCCTTCCCCCACCGCCAGATTTGCATGTGAGGACACACTCTGTTGAAGAAAAGTGAGTTCCTACAACCCACAGCGGGTACTATTCCATTTCCCATGAAGCCCGAGCTGCTGCCCCGTGGATGGCCCCTTTGCAGCATCGTCAGTCTTGAGTGGACAACTTTCTTTAGTCCACAGCCGGTGGGCCCACCTTTCATTTACCCATTAAATAAAAATCAGTATTCCTATTGAGTGCAAAATGCCGCCTTAAGCAGTTTGGGGCCACTTGAAACAGATTGGATCCACCAGCATTTTCAAAGATACCTCTGGTCCCAA